GGCCTCCAGTAGCGGAGCGCGCGCACTTAACCGCTAAGCCACGGGGCCGACACCTATAATGTATTTTAAATATATTTGTATTTAAAATATACTTTTTTATTTTTAAAAATTTTACTTTTTAAGTTTGCAGTTGAAAATTAAGAAGTGGAATTTTATGTCTCCTGCTCTGGACACCAACGTATCATATGATATAATGATGTTTTTATAGTCTTGGGCACGGGTTTTTAAGTTTGGTAAAAAGCTGGCAAACTCTACAGCTTTTGCCATAGCATGCGCGATCCACAGAGCCTTCCTCTCTCCTCACCACTCTGCAGTGTGATTCCCCACCAGGTCTACTCCAGCCGGAGCAGAGCAGCTATGGTAAACCTGGCTCTGTTGGTGGAGCAGGCAGCAATTAAGGAGTAGCTATAACAAACCTTATTATTTACATTTTTGCTCCAAATCTGGGGGTAGTTCTTGGCATCTTCTATCTTGCTCAGGGCTGTGCTATCAAGTTTGGTGGTTTAAGGTTATTTAGTGCTTCTTCTGTCCTCTGTACTGGGTTCACAATGTCTTCAACAGTAAAGCTTGAGTTGAGCATTTTTGTTTTTTAACTTTATTTCCTCAGTGTTAGTTTGAAAAAGAGAATAAGAAGCAATTTGGCTGCTTACCTGTGTTAATCTTGACATTTCTCAGTTTGGGACGATGAAGCTCTCTCCTCGGTTCTGCTGCAAAACTGTGCTGATGTAACCACTCTCCCTCAGGGCCTAGTAGGTCTGTGGAGTCCTAATTATGTTCACACCAAGTGCAATGTCTCTACTCAGTGCCAGATAGGAAAATAACACCAGGTGTGTGCACACCGTGTTTCCCCTCTTCCCTTTAGGAAAGGGGAAACTCCACTCTGTCTTCCTCAGATATTGGCCATGTCCAGACAGGAAACTGGAGTTACTGCCTAAAATCTTTGCAAGATTTGTCAGGATATTTTCAACAGGCTGATTTCCTCTGGTTTGCAGATGCAGGATGAGCACTCAGGTTCCAGGCTAAGATCTGGGCCATTGTGACTCTCAGAATGCTAAGCAATCAGAGAACAGAAAATAGATTCCATGCTATCTTCTTGGAGATGGAGGAAAGCTTGGAGAAAGAACAATTGCAAGGGACTCCACTCTTCAATTCCTCTATTTGTGCTTCTCTGTAACTCAGTGGGTCATCATGGGAACAGCCAGGAACGATCAGACTGTACGGAAACTTCCACTCCTTGAGAAATGTAAGACTCCGAAAAACTATGACCATCCTGACGTTCTGCGTCACACGTTTGAGACTCTATCTAACCTTCACAAGCTGCTTCCAAATAATCTGATGGAGCTGTTTTATTCCTACAAGAGTGAAGAGGACAAAAAAAAATGTATGTGGGTAGAGGGTGGGTGTGAAGTGTAAGCATACACTTGATCTTGGTACAGACTGCCACTCCTTGCCGCCATAAGTAAGCACTTTTCTCTACATTGCAGATGTGGTCAGTCCTTGAGACTCACGGCCCCCTTTATACTAATTATGCTGCAGAGGCCCCTGCACTGACTCACCACCACTTCTTCATGTTCCTTTTGTTTAAGAAGTCTTTTGTGAACCAAGATAGGTCTGTCACTCTTATTTAGGCAAAGCATACCAGTGGAAAGATGGAAAGGAGACTGAAAGTGGGAAATACCACTAAAATTACAATTTCAGCTTTTGATTTGATTTCAAGATTAGTGAGAGAACTTCCAAGTTGAAGGTCAGGCTTTGAAGTTTATTCTTTGCTCTGTTTCCTACCACTCCTTCCTCCTTTGCCAGGATTGTACCACTTCAGAGACAAGCTGGGTATGTCCCCTGAGGGTTATAAGCAACGTCCAGTTTTGGCACTGTGGAGTGGCTCACCACTCCTGGAATTCCGTCCGGGCAGTCGGTACCTGGACTGATGTACAGAATTGGGTGAAGCCTGTCTCCTGTATTGTCCATGTTTAAGTGAAGGACAAAGTAGGTGGTAACCCTGGTGCTCATGAACTTAGGAAGCAAAATAGCAGCTGCTACAGTGATTAAGACACGAGTTGTGTGGGCCGGCCCTGTGGCATAGCAGTTAAATTCGTACGCTCTGCTGCGGTGGTGGCTTGGGGTTCAGATCCTGGGCGCGCACTGATGCACCACTTGTCAAGCCATGCTGTGGCGGCGTTCCATATAAAGTGGAGGAAGATGGGCACGGATGTTAGCCCAGGGCCTGTCTTCCTCAGCAAAAAGAGGAGGATTGGTGACAGATGTTAGCTCAGTGCTAATCTTCCTCACACGGAAAAAAAAATAAAAGTAAAAATGTTTGACACTTTATAAAAAAAAGAAAAAAGATACAAGTCCTGGGTAGGAAGGTAGGTATATTGGCGTAAGGGTGATTTTAAAACATTATGGCAAATTTGGCCATTGGTATTCTGATTAATCCCTAATCCCTGAATCCACAGTATTGTGAATCAGTCCCAATATTGAGATTATACTAAAGATTACATAAAAATCATCAAGAAAAATATAAGCAACCTAATAGAATAGATAAATGTTATAGACAGGCAATTCACAAGATGAAATACAAATCATCAATAAGCATAAAAGATGTTCAAACACTGGAAATCAAGGAAGTAAAAGATAAATCAAGGAGATATTTTTAGGCCATCATACTGGTCAGATTTAAAAAGACCAATAATGATGAACATGTGGGGAAATTAATACCCTCACATGCTATTGATGGCATGTTAATTGACTGAAGCTTTTTTGAGACTAATTTGAAAGTCTGTAAAAATTTAAAATGTATGTTATTGGCTTATTGAATGAGTTGAACTTGGTAAAGACTAAGCAGAAAATAATTTTATTTTTATTTATTCTTATTTTTTTCACAACTTCCCCCTTTGACCCATTCTGTTGATCTTTTCTCCTCAGCTTTGGAAGAGATTACGAGCAGATCTCATAGCTTTCATGGTCATATTCAGATAATAAAAAGACCACTCTAATATCCAAACGCTAAACCCTCATCCAGTTTAAAACCTCTCGCTCCCCACCACTCTGGCCTGATTTAGACTCAGAAGCTGGGAGCAGGCCTGGCAGTATGCTGGGTTTCTTTTCTCTTTCTTGCTACACCTCCTCTCTCACTGGCTACTGTTAGGCTGACAAAGGTGAGGGTGGAGGAATTGAAAAGCTCTTCCTTGACTGGTAAAATATCAGATTGTGACCTCAAATTCGTGCTCTCTGGGGTGGCAGCTTTTAAAAGCTGACCTTTGCCCTCCCAGGTCATTTGCGTGGCTTCTTTGGTGATTTCCCATTGCTGAGGTCTCTCACTTGAACAGCATCCTGCTGACACTTCCCCTCCTCCATCCCCAACCCTGCCCCAGCTTTTGTATGGTACACTTCCATCCTATTTCAATTGAGATTGCCTCACCGTTGGACAGAAGCCCTCTTCAGATCCTGTTAACATGACTCAAAACCAACTACTTTCCAGGTGGTTTACATAGAGCTCATAGAAAATGTGAACTCCTGTCCTCCATACCTTCAGCCAGTTGGTAAAGTACAACTGGCTTCCAACAGTGACCCCTTTACTCTGTGGCCACAGGCAGCTGTGGTCCTAGCCACTTACCATTACAATTTTCCAGGTGTTAGGAGTTGAATTGTGTCCTCCAAAAAGATATGTTGAAGTCCTAATCCCTCAGTACCCCAGGATGTGACCTTATTTGTAAATAGGCTCTTTAGAGAGGTGCAGATGTAATTAAAATGAGGTTATACTGGAGTAGGGTAGGTTCTTAATCCAATATAACTGGTCCTTATAAGAAGACAGAGACACACAGGGAGAATATGGACATGTGACAAGAGAGGCAGAGATTGGAGTGATGCATCTATAAGTCAAGTAACACCAGGGATCACCAGCAAACACTCAAGGTTTCAGAGGGAGCATGGCCCTGATGACACCTTGGTTTTGGACTCCCAGCCTCCAGAACTGTGAAACAATAAATTTGTTGTTTTAAGCCACCCAGTTTGTGGTGCTATGTTATGATAGCCCTAGGAAACTGATACATCAGGTCTGAGGGGACACAGCCCAGCTCCCCAGGTAGTTCTCTTCAAGTACCTTCATTTGCCAGGGGGAGGGGAGATGCTACAGTACACAGCACTACAACAACTCTGCCTAAAGAAATCTTCAAGTGCCTTAAAGAATGTTTAGCTTTTCCTTATATAGATAGGTATGTTATGCATAGGTGGGTATGTGGCATCTATTGAATTTTTCTCAGATTGTATGGCCTTAGGAGAAAACTGAGACAACGGAAAATTTTATATTTTAACATTCCATTACATATGCATGTTCTTCAACTTAGCAATTCTACGTCTAGTTAGTATCCTAGAGAAATACTCGCACCTGTGCACACAGATGCAATAACAAGGGTGTGCATTGAAGCAGTGTTTACAATGGTGAAAAACTGTAAACAGCCTAATGTTATTTGATAGCAGAATGATTAAACTGCATTCATACTGTGGCGTACTATTAAAAAGACAGTTGACGTTAAAATGTCTACAAACACACTGTAGAGTTTTAATAAACAAGCTGCAGAATAAAAAGCAATCATTCCATTTATGCCAAAAGAAGACTATATTTGTATGTACTGTCAACTTAAAAAAGCAAATTCGCCTGTTATTTTACCCTCAAAATGAGTTTATTCAGGAATAAGCAAAAGAATTGCAATTCAGGATGTGTGTGCTATGGAGAACCATAGGCAAATCCGGAGAACGAAGAAGGGAAGCTGCTTTTATAGAGAAAAAGGGGAGGGGCTGTTCTAAAGGAAAGTCCATTGCGGGAAGGAAACAGTTGACAGCGGCAATGGCTTCTCATTGGCTGAGCTGCAGAGTTCATCATTGGTTGGGCTGTTGCTGGATGGGGAGAGAAATCTGCTTTCAGTAGTAAAGTAGTTTTACTTCCTGTTGGAGATGCAAGTTATTTCTCTTTCTGTTTGGAGTAATTGGTGATGTGTGATAAGGTGTGAGAGCTCTTCTTACAGGCCTTCCCCATCCAATTTAGTAAGGTTTCTTTTATTAATTTCCACTTTACAAATATGTATGTAAATGCATAGAAAAGAGTTCTGGAAGGAGACACTCCAAATTCAGGATGGTGGCTACCTCTGGAGAAAGAATAGAGATTGGAGGAAGGAAGACATTCTCTTTGACTATGTATACTTCTTTAAGTTGTTTGATTTATTCCAATGGAAATCTTTTCATGTATTTTTGTAATTAAAATGCAATTTTAAAGTGGAAAATGCAGTGAGTGTTTATGTAAAGTTGGAGAAGTGGGTTTGGATTTTCTAGTGATATTCTAGTTATAGGTTGATTTAGATTTTGTTCCCTTGGCCTCACAGTGTAGATATTAGTAGATATTGATACTCCTTTAGCAACCGGTAGTGTTCCTGCCATGTAAAACGCCCATTATTGTTGAGGTGCCTTGGTTTAAGAGGTGTTTGGCCACAATGATTCTTTGCTGTGGTTGGAAAACAATTGAAAGAAGTGCATGATACAGCTGATGTGAATGGCATTGAGGGGAAGATATGTTTGCTCTGAGTCCCCAGTCTGTGCCTTGAAGGACATGGGCCTAAGGCGGAATCCAGTCATTGAGCGGTCATTAGCCTTTGAGGCCCTGAATTCTTCACTAAAAGGCTGCTTCATTTCCAAAATGCCATTTCCAAATGTACAGTGATTGCCTTGAAAGTGCATCCTGAAGAGATGGCCCTACTTCTCACACTTTCATCTGTCAGATTATGAATTCAATAATGGATACCAATGTCGCACTGCTACTGTATCTAAAGCCTTCCTCCTAGTAGAAATTTCATTTGACCTTAAACATAGGTTTTATTCCTCCCCCTGCCATCGCCTCTTCATCTGCAGGGAAGCTTTGCCTGGATTAGACTATATATGTTACCCAGAGAGATTACAAGAAGAAAGAAAAAGAACTAAAAATTTATAGCTAAAACCTAAGGTTTTTCTTCTACATTTTAAATAATAGGAAGTTAAATCATAAGAACAACATAAAACTGAGAGATGAGGATCTATTATATCATCTGAGTTTAGATAGATTGCTGTCCAGATAATTGTCTTCAACTCATCATAAGCCTCTATGAGAGGTCCTCTTCCTCGTGCCACCCCACGCCCCAGCCCAGCAATGTAAGGTGTTATCCTGAGATCTCATTAGCACTGGTTTTATGATGTTTCATACATTCTCCACACCAGTTCCCTAAAGGACTGACTGGCACCAAACCAAAAAGCAGGAAGTGGGAGGAAGTTTACAGCTTTTGTTTGTTGTTTTTAATACTTAAGAAGATACCTCTCTTGGTTAATTTGCTGCTTTTCCCCCCAGAATACTTTGGGAAGCTGCTTAACTGGATGGTGGAGACATGCAGGAGAGGCAGGGCAGGCAGGAGGGGTGGTTTCTACAGAATGAGTGGGCTTGAGGAGGAGACCAATGGGAAAATTTCAGAAGCAGTGTGTGCTGTTCACGTGCTGGCAGTACACTGATGGTCACAAAATCCATAACTTTAGTTTGCACATTGAAGAAGACAATTATGAGGTGCCGAAGTAACAAATCACCTTAAAGCCTGAAGTTTTAAGTTACCTATTTTTACTGTCTCAGGTAAATACACACACACACGCGCAGTGGCTTGTGTACTGGTTTATACATCTTATCTATGCTGATTTCTATTGTGATTACTAATTCATCCATCCATTCATCCGTCCATCCATCCATCAAACACATATTGCATTCCACACATTAAAATAAGAAATAAAAAAAAAACATTCAAGCAGCTTACAGTCCAATATCTCCAAAATTTCATCCATAAATTTACAATCAATATTATTTTACTTCCAATAATTTCTTGAGGTGTCCCTATGTTTATTACACTTTCTTTCAAAACCAGGAAACTTGCTTATAATTTCAAATAAGGCTGGCCATAAGACCCAATTAAGTATTTAAGGTGAGTTCCAAGTTTTTATCTTATTTTGGTGTGCAGTACTAAATATAATTATTGATACTGGAGAATATGAGAATTTGTAATTTTTGTTAAATGTTATTCTCTGTCTCTAATTTATCACTAGCTGCTTACAAAAACGATTTGAGGTAGTTTACAATATTAAAATATGTATATACAAGGCAATCAAAAACAATTTATTTGAAGCAAAAGAAAAAAATTAACTGGATGTCACCAAATACCCAAATTGAGTTAATTAATTTAACTCAATATTAAATTTAGCCTTGAAATTCTGACAACCAAACCAAACCCTATGCATTCCTCTTGTTTGAGTGTGCCTGTGAGATCTTCTGGGTGACCAGATGTGTGATCACTGCTGCTAAGAGCAGTGTGTCTGGGCCAGACCCTAGAACTCTAGGCAGAAGCCCCAGATTCCAGCCCTCTTCTTGACTCACTTGGATGGTTTTCAGGCCTTTAAGGATCAGTCTATTCATCAAGTCATTATATCATTTAGTCAGATTGCCAGGTTATGGTCCCTTGAGCCAATTCTGGTTCTTTGGGGTCTCTGCCATTTCCCCCATCTGGGAAGAATCATCAGTTATTGCCCCCTGAGCAATAACGTGGGCTGGTGAGTGCTGATCTAATTCCTATGCAGGGTCGCCCTGAATCTCTTTGTGGCTCAGCTTCTCTTCCTGCGTTAGGTTTATGACAGCTCTCTTATGTTCTAAGACACCAACATGGATTACAGAGCTACTCATAGTGTAGGCTGCAAACTTGCTTTTGGTTCTCAAATTTACCAGCTAGCAGAGAGATAAGAAGCTTACACTACAATATGTCAACTGTGTCCCTAAACACACTATGTAGTTCAACTGACTCTCCTTTCTTCCTTCCTTCATTTGTAGCAAGACTGTTTTGATGAAGGAAGCAGTGTATTGAATTACATTCTGGCACAAGCTCTTTGTCTCATTGCAGATGGGCAATTCGCTTAGGGGCCAATTGAGGTCAGTGTGAAGGAGTGGATGTGATATAAATGCAGAGTGTGGCTAATATCTCTGATGATAAAAATAATTGCACAGTAACGTGCCATTAGCTTGAGAATCATGCACAGATTGCACAAATAACCTTCAGTATTTGTGATGGCACCAGCACATCTGTTTGCTTGTTCATTTATTCATTCATTCATTTATTGCTGTGCATCTATTAGATGTTTAGGACCGGGCTAAGGTCTAAATGTTACTCAGTAATATTTTTGGAATGAAGGAATGGCAGAGCTAAATAGCAATTATTAAGTGGCATAAATATTCTTTCTCAAATCAATGCCCTGTCACTCTTGCTATGCAAAGATGGAAAGGAATGCTGAATTGCATTAATACTGATTCTATTACTAGGTGAGAAGAATTCTGAACTCTCTGGCTTAGAAAGCATCTTAGCAAGACATCATTTTCCAAAAGAGATTAATCTAACCCCAAAGCCAAGCAATATGCCCCTGTGGAAAAGAAAAGCTATCAACAATGTAAGTCATGGGTGGAAGAAATGCTACTTGTGGAATAAAAATACAAACGAGCCTCCAATGTCAACCATAGTTGTCAGGTACGTGTGTAATTTTTGTCCTATGCAGACGTATTTAGAGATATACAGGGTGATCACAAACTCTCTTTATGCCTTAGCTAAAAAGTGACTAAATGTGGTCTTTGAGATATGTGGTGAGCATGAAAACAAGCATTGCTCTGTATAAAAGCACATGAGCCTCATTTTCACACAGCCCAAGAATCTGGAGGAGCCCTCATTAGGAGAAAACTCACAGAGACGGGAGCAGATGTGTGGGTCCGCCACGGGCCATTGCATTCTAGCTTAGTGAGATCTAGCAGGGCTGGAGTGGGAGTTTTGGAGAGGGACCCAACAACTGAGCCAAGGGGCTTTTATGCTGCATGTGTCAGGAAGCACCAGCCCACCCCTAGCATGACCAGGGGCCTAGGACACAATCGTATGAATAGTAGAACCTTGGCTTTATCCCTAGTTGGCCAGATTTTACACTGACAGAAATGCGGGGCCATTGCAGGGTCTTAAAAAGAGGGGTGACATGACCTAACTTGAATCCTCCCTGGCCTCTAGGGGAGCAAGGGTAGAAGCAGGAGCAGGATCATGGCCTTTGGACCAGGCGGTAACAGTGGGGATGTGGAATTGTTTGGAATCTGGCACTCAAAGTTATAAGCTTTGGTTCCTTGGCAAATTATCTTTGTTGGTACACTTCCTTCCCTGATTATGCCAGACAGATGATGTTTCTATATTTGTCTTAGTATTGCTGCATGCTTTGTTGTACAACACCTAATAAATGATTCCTGCATTTAGCACATAGTAGGTATTCAAAATACGTTGTTGCCAGGCTGACAGGAGAAATGTATAATTAGCTATAAAGACAGAGTCCTCTCTGCTTTGAAGGTGACAGACACAGGGAGAGAATTCCAGCTCATGAATTTGTCTGTACTGGAAGTGCCCACTGGGATCATTGCCCCACTGAAATAATTTCCTTGTCTACCTTTTTTTTTTTTCAGGGTCCTCAGTGGCATAATTTGACAATATGATTTAAAAATCCATATTTAAAGAAGGCAAAGATATGTTGTAAAAGAATTAGAACCATGTATTTTCTTCTTAGACAACACACGGCACTGAATTTTTGTCCACATTAAGGGTAGAAGTTATTTTACATGATGGTTACTGATTACTCAAGTTAAAATTATTTAACCATACTTTGAAGACCTATAAATAAAGAAAAAATGGTTAAAGTTTCACAACCATAGAAAGTTTATACACCACAATTTCAGACCATAATGTCTTCACATGAACAAATATATCTTTACACCCTCGTTTGGTTTCTGAAAATATAGCTAGATTGTTAGAACATAAGAAACAATACATATTTATTCAATATTTCCTTCTACAAACATTTATTTTCTTTCCTTAAAAACTGAGAGTGGTAAAAGCAGCCACCCTTGACTTGTTCTCAATCTCAGGGGGAAATAAGTCAGTATTATGTTGGCCGTAGGTTTTTGTAGACTGTCAGTTTGATGAAGTTCACTACTATTGCTAGTTTGCTTAATTGTTATCATGAATGGATATTGAATTTTGTCAAATGCTTTCTCTGTATTCATTGAGTTGATCATATTTATCTTTTCTATTAATATAGTGAATTGTATTGCTTTTTAAAATTAATTAATTTTATTTATTTTTTCATTGTGGTAACATTGGTTTATAACATTGTATAAATTTCAGGTATACATCATTATATGTATTGCTTTTTAAAAATATTTTTTATCATGGTAAAATGTACATAACATAAAATTTCCCATTGTACCCAGTTGTTTAAATGTACAGTTCAGTGGCATTAAGTACATTCACATTGTGCAACCATCACCACCATTCATCTCCAGAACCTTTTCATCTTCCCAAACTGAAACTCTGTACCCATTAAACAATAACTTCCTATTCTTTCAACCCTCCAGAGCCTGCAACCACTATTCTACTTTCTGTCTCTATGAATTTGCCTATTCTAGGTACCATAAGTGAAATCATACAATATTTGTCCTTTTGTCTCTGGCTTATTTCACTTAGCATAATGTCTTCAAGTTTCATCCATGTTGTTGCATGTATCAGAATTTCATTCCTTTTTAAGGCTGAATACTATTCCATTGTACGTATGTACCACATTTTGTTTTATCCATTCATCTGTCTATGGACATTTGGGTTGCTTCCACCTTGTGGCCATTTTGAATAATGCTGATATGAACATGGGTGTACAAATATCTGCGTGTTTACTTTCAATTGTTTTGCATATATATCCAGAAGTGGAATTGCTGAAGCATATGGCAATTCTATGTGTGATTTTTTGAGTAAGTGCCATACCATTATCCACAGTGGTTGCACATTTTACATTCCTATCAGCAATGCACAAGGGTACAAATTTTTTACATCCTTGCCAACATGTGCTACTTTCTGGATTTTTTTGATTATTATTTTTTTTTGCCAAGAAATAGTCACCTTGAGCTAACATCTGTGCCAATCTTCCTCTGTTTTGTATGTGGATCGCCACCACAGCATAGCTGATGAGTGGTGTAGGTCCGCACCCAGGATCCGAACCCATGAACCTGGGCTGCCACAGTGGAGCATGCTGCACCCAACCACCAGGCCACGGAGCCCTGTTTTTGTTTTTGATAATAGTCATACTTGTGGGTTTGAAATAGTATCTTATTGTTGTTTTGATTTGTATTTTCCTAATGATTAGTGATGTGATTATCTTTTCATGTGCTTATCGGCCATCTGTATATCTTTTTTGGAGAAATGTGAATTCAAGTCCTTTGCCTATTTTTTAATTGGGTTGTTTATTTTGTTGTTGTTGTTGAGCTGTAGGAGTTCTTTATATATTCTGGATATTAATCCATTATCAGATATATGATTTGCAAATATTTCCTCCCATCCTGTGGGTTTTCACCTTGTTGATAGTACCTTTAATGAACAAAGTTTTTAATTTTGATGAAGTTCAGTTTACCTATTTTTTTGTTGTTGCTTCTGTTTTTGGTGTCATATCCACGAAATCATTGCCAAATCCAATGTCAAGAATTTTTTCCTAAGAAAACTTCTAAGAAGTTTTTTTTTTTTTAAAAAAAACCCAATTTATTATTTTTTGGGGGGGGGGTTTGATTACTGTTTCAATCTCTTTACTTGTGATTGGTCTATTCAGATTCTCTATTTCTTCTTGATTCAGTTTTGGGTGGTTGTATGAGAATTTATCCATTTCTTCTAGATTGTCCAATTTGTTGGCATATAGTTTTTCATAGTATTCTCTTATAATTCTTTGTATTTCTGTGGTATCTGTTGTGATTTCTCCTTTCATTTCTAATTTTATTTATTTGATCTTTCTCTCTTTTTTTCTTGGTGAGTCTGGCTAAGGGTTTGTCAATTTTGTTTATCTTCTCAAAGAATCAGCTTTTTGTTTCATTGATCGTTTCTACTGTTTTTTTGTTTCAATTTTATTTATGCTCTAATTATTATTTCCCTCCTTCTGCTGATTTTGGGTTTTGTTTGTTCTTCTTTTTCTAATTCTTTTAGGTGTAGTTTAAGATTGCTTATTTAGGATTTTTCTTGTTTGTTCAGGTGGGCCTGTATTGCTATGAATTTCCTTCTCAGGAGTGCTTTTGCTGCATCCCATATGAGTTGGTATGGTGTATTTTCATTTTCTTTTGTCACCAGATATTCTTTGATTTCTCCTTTAATTTCTTCAATGATCCGTTGGTTATTCAGTAGCATGTTGTTTACTCTCTACATCTTTGCCACTTTCCCAGCTTTTTTCTTGTAGTTGATTTCTAGTTTCACAGCATTATGGTTGAAAGTGATGCTTGTTATGATTTCAATCTTCTTAAATTTATAGAGGTTTGCCTTGTTTCCCAACATATGGTCTCTCCTTGAAAATGTTCCATGTGCACTTGAGAAGAATGTGTAATCTGCTGTGTTTGGATGGCGTGCTCTCTATATATCTATTAAGTCCATCTGGTCTAGTTTTTCATTGAAGTCCACTATTTCCTTATTGACTTTCTGTCTGGATGATCTATCCATTGATGTAAGTGCGGTGTTAAGGTCCCCTACTATTATTGTGTTGTTATTGATATCTCTTTTTAGGTTTAACAGTTGCTTTATGTACTTTGGTGCTCCTGTGCTGGGTGCATATATGTTTATAAGTGATATGTCTTCTTGGTGGAGTGCCCTTTTATCATTATATAATGCCCCTCTTCGTCTCTCATTACCTTTTTTATCTTGAAGTCTGCTTTGTCTGATATAAGTATGGCACCACCTGCTTTCTTTTGTTTGCCATTAGCTTAGAGTATTGTCTTCCATCCCTTCACTCTGAGCCTGTGTTTGTCTTTAGAGCTGAGATGTGTTTCCTGAAGGCAGCGAATTGTTGGGTCTTGCTCTTTAATCTATCCAGCCACTCTGTGTCTTTTGACTGAGGAATTCAATCTATTTACGTTTAGAGTGATTTTTTATATATGAGGGCTTAATGCTGCCATTTTATCTTTTGTTTTTCAGTTGTCATGTATTTCCCTTGTTTCTCATCCATGTATTTTGGACTGCTAATGCAGTTTGGTGGCTCTGTATGATGGTTTTATCAGTTTTCTCTTTATTTATCATTTGTGTCTTTGTTCTGATTTTTTGTTTAGTGGTTATCATGCGGTTTGTATAAAAGATCTTGTAGATGAGATACTCCATTCCGATAGCCTCTTGTTCCCTTAGTCTAAGCAGGTTTCATCCCTTTCCTCTTCCCCTTCTAAGTTGTTGTCACAACTTATTCCGTTATGTGTTGTGAATTTGTGGTTACAATGAAGTGATAATATTTATTTTCGATGTTTTCCTTCCCTTTATCTTCAGAGTTATAATTGTTTGGTAATTTGTTCTGATAGAGAGTTGCAATTTTCTGATTATGTCTGCCTATTTATCTGCTTGCTCAAGGCTTTGTAAACCCTTTCATTCTTTTTTTTTTCAGGTATGAGGGCCTTCTTGATCAAATCTTGTAGGGGGGTTTGTGGCAATGAACTCCCTCAGCTTTTGTTTATGTGGGAAAGTTTTTATTTCTCCATCATATCTGAAAGATATTTTCACTGGATATAGTATTCTTGGCTGAAAGTTTTTGTCTTTCAAAGTTTTGAATATATCATTCCACTCTCTCCTAGCCTGTAAGGTTTCTCCTGAAAAATTCACTGAAAGTCTGATAGGGCTTCCTTTGTAGGTTATTCTCCTCTACCTTGCTGCCCTTAGTATTATTTTATTTATAGTTGACTTTTGCCAGCTTTACTAATATATGCCTTGGAGAAGGTCTTTTTACATTGATGTAATTAGGAGTCCTGTTGGCTTCTTTTACATGTATTTCCAGCTCCTTCTCCAGGTTTGGGAAGTTCTCAGTTATCATTTCTTTGAACAAGCTCTCTGCTCCTTTTTCCCTCTCTTCTCCCTCTGGAATACCTATAATCCTTATGTTGGATTTCCTAATTGAGTCGGATATTTCTCAGAGAAGTTCTTCTTTTCTTTTTAGTCTAATTTCTCTTTCTTCCTCCATCTGAAGCATTTCTGTGTTCCTTTCCTCCAGATTGCTAATTCTACCCTCCATATTGTCAGCTCTGTTGTTTAAGGACTTCAGATTTTTTCTTTATCTTATCCATTGTGTTTTTCACCTCTAACAGTTCTGTTTGGTTTTTCTTTATAGTTTTGATCTTTTTGTGAAGAATTCCCTCTGCTCAGTAATTTGATTCCTGATTTCATTGAACTGTCTTTCAGAATTCTCTTGTAGCTTGTTGAGTTTTCTTATGATGGCTGTCTTGAATTCTTTGTCATTTAGATTGCAGATTTCCGTGCCTTCAGGATTGGTTTCTGGGTGTTTGTCTTTTTCCTTCTGGTCTGGAGCATTAATATATTTCTTTATACCATTTGATGGAGTGGATTTGTGCCAGCGCATAGTGATAGTTTCTGGACACAGGTTCCACCTGCTGCCATTTGAGGAGTGGTGCAGGAACTGTGTAATCTGAGCCCACTGCCACAATCCCTGTCAGGTGTGGCTGTCCGAGCCTGGGTCACTCTTTGGGATTGCAGTGGCCCTGTGGGGTCTACCACCAAATGGGAAAGTATTCATGTGGGGGCCAGGGCTACTGCCACCTGCTCCCACAGACCCATGGAGTTGTGCTCCCCGCTTCAGGGCCACAGCAGTACTATGGGTGTTCATGGCAGCTGGGAGCTTGTTCGCTTGGACTTGGAGCTCAGCCGCCCTCTGCTCCTAGGTTGCACCAGCCCTTGTGCTTGGTGGGTGGGACCTCCCCTGTGGGATGGAGCCAAAGCCACTCCCTGGGACTGGGTGGGGTTATGGATTCTCCCACTAGACTAGAGAGTGATCAAACGGGGCTCAGGGCTACTGCCACCTGCTCCCACAGTCCTGCCGAGACATGCTCCCCCACTTTGGGGACACAGTGGTACTATGGGCATCCGTGGCAGCCAGGAGCTTGTTTGCCTGAGTGGCAGCTCAGCCGCCCTCTGCTCCTAGGTCGCAGCAGCCTTTGTGCTTGGTGGGTGGGGCTTCCCCACTGGGTCCAAGACTGCTCCGCTCTCTGTGGGCTGCATGGCCCCGAGGGCTCTCCCACTAGATGGGGAAGAGATCACATGGGGTACTCAGGGCTGCCATCACCTGTTCCCACAGTCATGCTGAGGTAAGCTCCCACCCTTGGGGCCACAGTGGTGCTATGATTGCGCTGGGCTGCCTGGGGTCCAGAGGGTGCTCACCTATCCCCACTACCTCCTTGGGGGGGTAGTCCATCCACCTTCAGATATACAGCTGCTTGGGTCTCAGGTGTCCTGAAATGCTGTGTGGGTATCCTCTGCTGTTCAGTGAATGTCCTTTTAGTTGTAGTTCGAAGAGGGAGAGACACAGGGAACAGCTCATTCTGCCATGTTGCTGACATCACCCAGGAGTTTTTTGGCTAAGAATTTTATAATTTTAGCTCTTATATTTAGGTCTTTGATCCATTTTGAGTTAACTTTTTTATATGGTGTAAAGTAAGGGTCCAACTTCATTCTTTTGTATATGGATATCTAGTTTTCCTAGCACCATTTATTAAAAAGACCATCCTTTCCCTATTGAAGGTGTTGGCACCGTTGTTCAAAATCATTTGATTATATATGCAAAAGTTTGAGTTTTCTGTTCTATTCTATTGGTTTATATGTCTGCCTTTATGTTGCCACATTGTTTTGATTACTGGAGCTTTATACTAAGTTTTGAAATCAGAAAGTGTGTCTCCCAACTTTGTCTTGTTTTTTCAAGATTGTTCTGGCTATTCAGGGTCCCTTGAGACTCCATATAAATTTTGGATCGATTTTTACATTTCTGCAAAAAAAACACCATTGAGATTTTGAAAGAAATTGCATTAAATCTGTAGATGACCTTGGGTAATATTAATATTTCAATATTAAGTCTTCCAATCCACGAACATGGGATATCTTTCCTTTTATTTATGTCATGTCTACTTTCTTTCAGCAATGTTTTATAGTTTTTATCATACAAATCTTTTGCCTCCTTGGTTAAATTTTTTCATAAGTATATTCTTTTTGAAGCTATTGTAAATTAAATAGTTTTCTCAATTCTCTTTTCGGATTATTCATAGCTAGTATATATAAATGCAACTGATTTTTGTGTGTAGATTTTGTATCCTACAATTTTGATAAATTTACTTTTTTTTTTTTTTTTGGTGGAATCTTTAGGGTTTTCTACATACAAGATCATGTTGCCTGCAAACAGAGATAATTTTACTTCGTCCTTTCCAATTTGAATGCCTTTTCTTTCTTTTTCTTGACTAATTGCCCTGGCTAGAACTTCTAGTACTATGTTGAATAGAAGTGGTGAATGCAGGCACCCTTGTCTTATTTCTGATCTGAGAGCGAAAGGTTTCAGTCTCAGAAAGATGTCATCTTGTTGGGGTGCTGATCTCTAGTGTTTTCTAATTGTGGCACTCACAGAAACCTTTCAGTAGATATAGTTAAATCTCCAGGGGTGGTATGGCCCAAAGGTGACTGCATGACAAAATTGGCCTTGGGAATAGTTGACTTTCCCCTCTGAATTCCCCACTAGAATGAAGGTTGTTTACTAATAATGTTCTGCACCAGATTAAAAAAAAATTAAATATTTTACCTGTGAGTTTTTCATATATGGCCTATATTGAGGTAGTTTTCATCTATTGCTAGTTTGTTTAGTGTATTTATCATGAAACAGTGCTGAATTTTGTCAAATGCTTTTTCTGCATCAATTGAGATGATCATGTGTTTTTTCTCTTCATTTTGTTAATGTGGTATATTACATTGATTTTCGTATGTTGAACCATCCTTACATTCCAAGAATAAATCATACTTGGTCATAGTGTATAATCTTTTAATATGTTTTTGTATTTGGGTTTGATAGTATTTTGTTGAGGATTTTGCATCAATATTAGTGAGGGATATTTGTCTGTAGTTTTCTTGTAGTGTCTTTGCCTTGCTTTGGTATTAGGGTAACACTGGCCTCATAAAATGAGTTAGGAAATATTCCCTTCTCTTCAATTTTTTGAGAGAGTTTGAGGATTGGTGTTAATTCTTTTTTAAATGTTTTGTATAATTCACCTGTGAAGCCATCTGATCCTGGGCTTTTCAATTTGGGAGGTTTTTAATTACTGATTCAATCTCCTTATTAGCTATAGGTCTATTCAGATTTTCTGTTTCTTCATGATTCAGTCTGGGTAGGTTGTGTATCTAGGAATTTGTCCATTTCATCTGGGTTATCCAATTTGTTGGTGTACAGTTATTCATAGTAACCCTTTGTATTTCTGTAAAATTAGTAGTAATGTCCCCTCTTTCATTTCTGATTTTAGTTATTCAAATCTTCTGTTTTTCTTGGTCAGTCTAGCTAATGGTTTGTGAATTTTGTCACTCTTCAAAGAACTCTTAGTTTTGCTGATTTTCTCTATTGTTTTTCTATTCTCTATCTTTGCTTTAATCTATATTGTTTCCTTCCTTCTGCTGTTTTTCATATTTTGTCCAGAGATTTTAGTTGAAATTAGTGGCAGGGATGGGCAGTAGTTGGCTCACAGCGACACAGTGGAATTGGAATTCTATGTGACACTTACTGGGAGTTTGACTCTGGAAAAGCTACTTAAATCTGTATGCCTCGGGATCACTACTTGTAAAATGCTAGTTGCAACAGTACCTACCTCATTGTAAATTTTTGGTGGTGTTTTGTGAGGATAAAATGTGGTTATGGGCATTAAACACTAGTAAGAAACAGTAAGTGCTCAATAAACATTAATGGTTACTACTATTCATATATTTCCTATAACACTAAGCATTCTGGATTAAGATTACTGGAATAAAAAGATTAAGAACTAAAAAGTTAGAGGTTCGGTGGGTTGGCTACCTGGATGCTGATGCTTGAAGGAAGGGTTAAAAAGGAAGGAGGATATTTAGAAGAGCAAAATATTCCATGCCAATTATGTAGCCATAGAATCACACCCTCATCCTTGTCAACTGATACATATAGCAGTAGTCAAAACAGAAAGTTGCAAGGACCGTTGAGGCAGCCTACAGGTATGCCTTTTATAAAATACCACATTAAACAAGAATGAAGACTACATCATAAATAAGGAGATAATTACTGATATAGAACATTGCTTTCCAATGAAATAACCCAATTCTCCCTTTATGCCTTTTTATTAAATTACAGGAAAAAAATGAAGCTAAGATTCTTGTTTATTTTCTACTAATACTACTCCTCCCATTTTCTCCCTTGCTAGATGGCTGAATAAGAATATGCAACCCAGTGAAGATCTTCAGTCAGTAACCCAGAGGCTGTCAGTGTTTGGGCCAATTCAGTCAGTTACCCTTTGTGGACGGCAAAGTGCTATAGTGGTGTTCGAAGACATGACTTCAGCTTGTAATGCTGTGAATGCTTTTCAAAGCAGGACCCCAGGCACAATGTTTCAGTGCTCCTGGCAACAACGATTCATGTTGAAAGATGTAAGACTCCCTATTACCAAAAACCTACATAAATTAAGCTTGTTTTACATAATTTGTTTTTCATCAGGACTCTAGTGAGATATAATCATCATAAACGATATTTTATCACTGAAAAAAGGCACAGTGAAGTATATTTAGGTCAGGTGTTGGAAATCAGAAGTAAGAGCACACCTTTTCCTTTGCAATGCTTCACTTTGCTGCTATAGTCATCACAGTTTTGCTCTTTTGGATAAGAAGTTCATGACCGCATTCATGGATTCCTCTGACAGAAATCTTCCTTGGATGATGCTGCTTTCTTCAACATTAACAGAATGTAGCTTTTCTTTCTCCCTATTTCTGATAACCTGTTTTGAAATTCTCAAGACCTGTAAAAAGAAGACCAACAATAAGGTTAAGAGGTATTTTAATAGGAGTGGGATTATTCTATAATTCTGATTCTTGTTTCTCCACTGTTCATTTAATCCTGTTACACTTAAAAGATATATGTGTAATATAAGACTGCTTCTCAAACTTTAATGTGCATACAAATCCTCCCAATAGGTGAGGGAAGAGCTTGTGATTACACATTTCTAAAAAGCTCCAAATAGATACAAAAGCTTCTAGTTCCAGGAGCACATTTTGAGCAGCAAGAATATAAAAGCAATAAGTCACTAGCTTCGCATATAAAAACGGAAGTGCTACAAGGTAAGAATCTCCTAAAAGTCAACCTAGCTGATTCTCACCTGGATTCAAGAATAAAAGTGCTCGGCAAATACTACCTATCATCTTCCTCAAAGTTATCCCCAGAAAGAACTGCCCCTCTGGCTTCATATCATAGAAATGGAATGACTATTTGATAAGTTTTGTAAAAATCAGTATTTCTAATATATTATGGTTATTTTTAATCTCAAATTTAGATGTGCTTAAAGCCAACCAAGATATGTCTTGATTTTGTGATTGCTTATTCTCTTAAGTCAAATAAATTATTTCCATGCCTCCTAAAAGTAAAAAAAAGATGAATACTAACATTTGAGGGGAGCTTTGCATATGCTGTCAGCCTGGTCCAAACTTCTTTCTGAAAAGTGGCATCAGGAAAAACTTCAGTGACAAGTCCTTGAGCACATGCTTCTCTTGCGGTCAACTTCTTTCCAAAAGTCAGCATCTCTGTTGCCTGAAATGAAAAGCAAGATTAGGACATTAAGTGAATCAAACAAGGCTCAGTTAACTTCAGAATAAACTGCTCTCAGTAGACATAGGGAAATTTACTTATGGTCTTTTGAGGTTGCCAGTATTTCTCATTAAGGGAGAAACTGATGACCTCAATAGGCAATGGTTTTTAAACCGTGTGCTGAGACCATCTTAGGCTCTCTAGAAGGTTTATAGGGCTTGCTGCTTCTGTGTGTGTCTATGTTGGAAAGGCAAGACCAGGGAGGGCAGGGCAGAAATGACCTGAAGCTGATGCTGATTCTATAACTCTTGGCAGCTATGATTTTCTGTCTTATATACTATAAACAATTAGAAAAGAAAAAAGAGAGAAAAATCATGGTCATAGGGAATGCCAACCAACCTTTAGAAACACTAACTTTCAAAATTCCCTTCCCTAGGAATTCTACCCAGTGGTCTAGCTCTGACAGTTTTCTTTACCTGCACAGGTACTCAAATTAGTTCTACTTGACCAAAAGAAAGTGAAGAAGACTAATATTCAGTTTCTAACAAAACTGAGGTTACTAAGTGGATCTCCTTCTCTACATTTGCAATCTCTCTTCCAGAAAAGTAACTACTATTTCAGAGCCAAATTCTCTAAGCCTTAGAGTTGGTTCTGCCCAACCTTTCAAAGTTAAATCTGTATAACAATTCAGGGTATGTGACAGAATAAAGAGATTTAAAAAATATGTATTTTCAACAAAACCCTAATAGCAATGAAAATAGGCTCAATTCCCACTCCCCCTTTTCAGATCTCAAAGAACATCTGCTGAGCCTTCCCATATCCCCTTGCTCTCCAGTTCGTGTTATGATCCCCTTGGAGTCATGCACACAGAGCCTGGGCAACTAGGTTTCCAGGAACGCAGCGGCAGACCTGAGCAGCCACTCACCCCCTCCGGAAGCCTTGATATGCTAGTCAGACAGGCTGGTGGAAAGGCTGCAGTGACTGGGAGTGGCTTTGGAAGTGGTAAACCTCCATGAGGCCTCACATCTGCCGGTACTTCACATGACCCTAGAAGTCAAGATGTCATCATACCACTTCCAACGGATGCTGCTCATCCATAAGGAAATTACGTGGAGAAATGAGCTCAGCAGACCCAGGGAGGCTGGCACAGCCCTGATCCTTCAACTGACTAATGCCACACAGCCGTGGAGGATGAGGCCCGTGCTGCTCGCAATGCAGCTGCATTGGGCGACCAGCTTCAAGACTAGTATGCCAGTGTCAGGAGCTGCAGAGAGTTTCTAATTTTCCCTCATACTAGACATTTCCTGCAGCCTAATTCCTCTATATTTCAAACTAATCCTAGAGTTAGGGGGCAAATAATTTGCTTCTCTCTCTTTTGTCTAAATTATTGAGGGAAAGAAAAGAGAATAGGGATTACTTTTGGAATAGAGAGGATTTATTAAAATTTATTTTTAATGCTTCCAAAAGTTACCTTGGTTGGGCCCATTATCTTCGGAAAAGTGTAAGAGGAACATCCTTCTGGACTTAAGCCTAGGTGACTAAATGGGGTATGAAATGTTGCCTATTTGGAGGAAAAAAAAGGAGAGAAAAAATCATTTTTTCATACGCGATTTTTAAAAATCACTATTTGTCTATATCTTCACAATACTTAATTGAAGAACACTTTTTAAAAATTATGATTATTGTGGTATTATTATATACACACAAAATTCACTCTCTTAATGTATGTAGTTTGATGAGTTTTAAAAAACGTATTCAGTTATGCAGCCACCACCATAATCAAGATATAGAATATTTCCATCACCCCAAAAAGTTCCCTTGGGTCCCTCTGCTGTCAATCCGTTCCTCTCACCCCTAAGCAACCACTGATCTGTTTTCTGTCCTGATAGTTTTGCCTTTTCTAGAATGTTACATAAATGAAATCATACATTCTGTAGTCTTTTGTCCTTTTGTAGGCTTCTGTCCTTAGCATAAGGCTTCTGAGTCACCATGCTGCTGCATGTATTAGTAGTTTGTTCCTTGTTATTTCTGAGTAGTATTCCATCGTACAGATGTGCCATAATTTGTTTATCCATCCTCCAGTTGATGTCATTGGTGTTATTTCCAGTATTTTGGCTATTATGAATAACGTTGTTATGATAATTTGTGTATAGGTCTCTGCATGAACATATGTTTTCAATTCTCTTGGGTAAATACCTATGGGTGGAATTGCTGGGTCGTGTGGTAAATGTACGATTTAACTTTATAAGAAGCTGCCAAACTATTTTACAAAGTGGTGTACCATTCAACATTCCCACCAGCAGTGTACGAGTTCCAATTGCTCCACATCCTTGCTAAACCTTGTTATCATCAGTCTTTAATTTGAACCATTCTAGTAGGTGTGTAGTGGTGTCTCATTGCAGTTTTAATTTACATTTCCCTAGTGATTAATGAGGTTGAGCATCTTTTCATGTACTTATTAGCCATTTGTATATCTTCTTTGGTGAAGTAACTGTTACAATACTTTGCCCACTATTTTTAAGTTAGATTGGTTGTCTTTTTATTATGAAGTTGTAAGAGTTCTCTATATATTCTGGTTACAAGTCATTTTGTTAATGGAGTCTTTCTCATATGTGTTTAAGAGCCATTTATACTTTATTATCTGTGGGCTATTTCTCTCTATTGCTCATTTTTATATTGAGGTGATGATCTTACCACTTTATAGATGTAGTTTAAAAAATATGTTAGAGATGTTAGCTTTATTATGTTAGTTGAAAAATTGTTTCCTCAATCTTTCATTTATCTTGATTTTGCCCCAGAGGTTTTCTGATTGGCTTTAAATACTAGAAGCTACTTCACTATTAGTTATTTAGAATATAAAGTCACTTTTAGCTTTTTTCTAGATTTAAGAAATATTTTCCTGTGCTTTTTTGATGAATAAAGACTTTATGAAAGGGAATTACTTTATAGTTGACAATATGTAAACAGAATATTTATACTTCATTTCTCATAATCAGATATGGTGTTATTTTTTAATGAATATTGTTAGAAGATATAAATATATAATGTATGCAGCAAACAAATCAAAATAATAAAAATATAAAGTAAATGTTATTAATGTCATCTATATTCTTTTCTCCCCCCAAAAGAAAGGCTATTCAAGAAAATATACTAAGAAGTCACAGCCTAAGGAACATAAGCAAGAAACTGAACAAAGATGCCAACCACAGGTATAGGGCCACAAACAGGTACACACAAAGCCAACAATAAGCAGTATTTAACTTATTTATAAGCATTATTGTAAGTAGGCATTTAGGTCATTTTCAGAAATAGAGCAGTAAACAGAGTTAAGGGTTTCAGGTCTGGCATCAGACTGCTTAAAGACTCTGCGAGTTTCTTCACCTCTCTGTGCCATGGTTTCCTCAACTGTAGTGGGGATGAGAGTACCTGTCTCACAGGGCTGTCGTGTGAATTACATAAATATCCATCCTGTGTGTCAACGGAGCGCCTAGTACATAGCGAGCACTCAAATATTCATTACGTGTAAAAAACTTCCACCTTTTTATTAACTCACAGAGGAAAGGTACCATTTGCTGACAGAGAAGCTAATAGGCATTAACTATTGTCCAAAATAAAGAATAATTTGGTTATATAGCTTAAATGTTAACCCACATTTAATACAGTATTTATTCATGAAGCCAGTAATGATAAATCCTATCAAATGAATTCCTCTTCATAAGTTCTTTCTTTTGTCTTTCCCTGATTTAAAATTGAATCTTGGTTTGATTTAGTTGGGTGAACTCTTAGCAGTGGTCACTATTTGTCAAATATTTTACTTTGGGGCAATCTTTTAGGATTTAAATTATATATATATATATATATATTTTTTCTCTGATTTCAATTTTAATTCCACATTGTATCATAAGATGGAAGTCCCAGACATCTTTAAAAGGATGATGTATATGAATTCAGGCATTTTCAATTCAGTAGGAGAATCAGGAGAAGGTTCAAACAAGATGATATTTGCCCTCAAAGTACTGAAGAATGAGAGCCCCAAGTTCAGGTCCTGACCCCACTCCTGTTCACACCAGGTTGATTAATCTGTCATCTAACACACAGAATGTGACCAAAGACTATGGATTTCTGCCTTTGAGCAGAAACTTCCACTTATAAAGCTTAGGCAGCCTAGCACCACCTAGAATCTCATTTGCTACTTTTATGGGAAAATTGTTAATAAGAATTAGATCTGACAACATGGCCAATGTGAACAAATGGAATCCACTAAAAGATGAACCATAGCGAAGAACCCTAATTTATGGTCCTATCAGTGAGGGAAAAACCTCTAAATAAAACTAGGAGTGTCTTCAGTAGTAAAAACTAAATGTTTCCCACAAGGCTGTAGATCAGCAAATTTTACCACCACACAAGCAAAAGTCGCTCTAGGAATCTGATAACCTAGAGGTGGTTATGAGTTCTACAGTAAAGTTCTAAGATGAATGTTCATCACCTCTGTTTATAACGGCAGAAACTGAAAACAGCCTAGGCTTCCAGCAGTCGGGACTGGTGAAATGAGGTAAGTTAAATAACCCAAATCTTGGCACTGGTTAGCTCTGAGTGTAAGAGAAGGAGTGATTTTTAATGTAATAATTTTCTTTTCCATATTGTTCAAAATTTTATTTTCTACTATAATATATATATTACCACTGAGTAAGAACAGAAATTAAAATCTGTTTAATTCAGGGGTGAACACAAGGCTGAATTGTGTTTTGGGCAAATAACTTCTCTGAGCTTCAGGTTTCTTACCTGGGAAGGAGGGAGTAAGAGTAGATAATGCTCCAAAGTCCCCTCTTACTTTAAAATTCTAAATTCCAGAATTCATTTACTTGGAAAAAAGTATCAAATAATCCACTTGCATAACCCACAAAGCTGCTGTTTATTTTCCCCTGATAACAAGCCTTCAAAGTCTTTCAAATTTTAGAGTAATATGAAAACTGAATAAGTGTTGTATAATTTGATTAGAATATAGAACCAAAGGAGTTGGGACAATGTTCCCAACAATATTGGTGTTTAGGAATATTCAAGTTAATAATGAAGGAAAAATAGAATGAGTCAAATTAGTTAGACTAATTCTTTGGGAAAAAATTGAATTTAGTCCATCCTATCACAAACCATATGTAATCTATTTACTATTGGCATCAATAAAGGAGAATTCAAAGGATCTCAAAGGATTCTGGGAGCTAACTTACCCTGTCGGAGGCATACACGATATCGAATAGCCCAAGAAGGGTGACAGCGATTCCCACAGCTGGACCATTTACCACTGCAATCAGAGGCTTAGGAAAATCTATAAAAGAGGCTACAAAATCCCTATAGAAATGGAAATATAAAAGTATGTTTAAATATTCCAAAGCAGCATTACTGAAGTATAGGCAAGACAGTATGAGCCTAAAATAACAAACTCTTCTGGCCAGGCTGGGTGTTTCCACATCAACCAGCAGAGCCTCCCTGTCCTGCCACCTCCCTGGTCTCCCACAGCAGATTCATCCAGGACACTCATCTCAATGGCACTTGATGAAAGCTCAGAGTGAGTCCCACAGTTCGACCTTGGTTCAGATCTTGAATTCTGGGCAGCTAGGTCAGGGCTGTGGGGCAGCTGCAGACTTAGAGATTAGGATGGCTGACGGAGCACACTGCGATACTACAGCTCAGTGGGAGTCAGAGACTCAGCAGGGATACACGAGACAGGAAGAGAGAAGCCTTCAGGTCCGCTGTGTTTTCTGAGACGACTTCAAGTCTCCTATCACCAGCAATCACGGAAGTCATGCATTCCTCTGGCTGGATGCGAATGTGCTAAATTCCTCTGCCTCAATACGAGAGAATTTTATTTACAACTGTAGTTTGCTTTCATGTTTTCCAATCAAATCTAATGTAAAGCAGCAGGATGAACAGGAAACAGAAGTTAAAGTGGTAGAATGAATGCCCACATATTGATAAGAGGCAGTCTGGAGAAATATGCTTTTTCAAAGTCACAATTAATTACACTGACACAAAGAAATATTTATTTTACTTTTGCTCAACTAACCACCACTTTGATAAATAAGGATGAACCCTCTGGCATCAGACAGATGTCACTCTTACCTTAGTAAATTGGTACTATTTTTAGCTTTCTCCTCTATTCCACCAAGGGGAGTATCAGTGACGTTGGTCAAGTCATTCCCACTACAGTAAAAGTCACCATTTCCTGTAAATAAAGTCAACAGATTCACCACCCATTCATTCTATAATTTTGAGTATCCACTGTGTGCCAGGCTCTGTGTCACACACTGGAAGCACACTGGTGAACCAGCTATCGTTCCTGCCCTAATCTACAGACTAGTGAGTAAGCTGGACATGGATTTAAAAACACACAAAGGTAGGCAATAAAACTTTGATACAAAGGAGAGATACATGATGTGAGAGCATGTAACGAGATTTGGTCTAATCAGGGAGTTCAGGGAGGGACTTTCCTAACAAAGGGACAACTGAACTGAGAGCTGAAGGACAAGCAAGGTTAGCTAGAAAATGAGGGATGGGAAAAATATTCACACAGAGGAAACAGCACGTGCAAAGGTTCTGTGGAGTGGGTAACCCTGGTGTGTATGATGAGTTGAAAGAAGTGCCACCATGCCAGAGCAGAAAAAGCCAGGGGGAGGAAGCTGGTTCAGGATGAGGATAGGCAGGATAGACAATGTGGGGCTTTGCAGATCCTTTAGGAAGTTTTGCCTTTACTCTAAGAGCACTGAAAGTGTTTTGTTTTAAAGTATAATTTACATACAATAAAATGACCAGTTTTAAACACTCGGTTCAATGATTTTTGATAACTGTAAATATTCATGCGATCACCTTCCAAAACAAGATATAGAACATTTCCATCATCCCAGAAAGCTTCTGTGAGCCCCTTTCCAGCCACACCACCCCACCCTGCCCCAAGGTGATCCCTTTCTGATTTCAATCACCATAGATTAGTTCTATTTTAGAGCTTTATCTAAATGGAATCATACAATAACGTAGTCTTTTGCTTCCGTCTTCTTTTGCTGAACTATGTTTTAAAGATTCACCCATGTTCTTGTGTGTATCAGTTATTAATTCCTCTTTATTGTTGAGTAGCATTCCATTGTATGAATAGTCAACAACTCGTTTATTCATCCGTCAATTGATGGATATTTTGATTTGTTCTGTTTTTGGCTACTGTGAATCAAGCTACCATGACAGTTCTTGCACAAGTGGTTTGTGGACATATGTTTAATTTATCTTGAGTAATTGGTGTGTCACTGAGCTGATGTGTGTTTAACTTTATAACAAGTTGCCAAACAATTCTCCAGAGTGTCCTCACGTCAGAAATGTATGAGTCCCAGTTGCCCACATCATCACCAATATTTGGTATTGTCTGTTTTTCGATTTTAGTTATTCTAGTGGGTGAAATATCTTGTGGTTTTAATTTGCATTTCTTTGATAACTAATGATATTGAGCACCGTTTTATGTGTTTATTGGCAATTCATAAATCTTCTTTTGTAAAGTGTCCCAGTCTTTTATCCAGTTTTTAAATCTAGTTGTTCATCTTATTAATTGGTAGGAGTTCTTTATATATCCTGGAATATTAGTCCTTAATCAGATTTTTGTATGGCAAATATTCTTTTCCCAGCCTGTGGCTTGTATATCATTTTCTTACTATTGTCTTTTGATAAGCAGACATTTTAAATTTTGATGACGTCTAATTTGTAAATTGTTTCTTTTATGGCTAATGCTTTTTGTCTCCTGTCCAAGAAATCTCTGCTTACCCGAAAATAACAAAGATATTCTATGGTTTCTTCTAGAAGGTTTCTGTTTCTGGATTTCATGCTTAGATAACTTTTAAATTAATTTTTATGTGTTGTAAGATGGGATTGAAGTTCATTTTTCCCCATATGGATATTTAGTTGCTCTAGCACCATTTGTTAAAAGACTTTTTTAACAAATTTCTCCATTGAATTATTTTGGTGCCACTGAATAATGTCCAGTAGGGGAAAAATAAAACTTTTATTTGGAAAAAGTTTACATTAGATGTCGTAAGGAGATTGGACAGGGCATGGGAGAGAGCAGGCAGAAGGAGATGTGGATAGATTAGATAAGGGCTTACTTCAGTTCAGACAAGAGTCCACAGTGGCTTGGACTAGTGCAGAGGAGACAAGGAAAAAAGGATGGATTCCAGAGATACTGATGAAGTGAAATGGGATTAGACTGGACATGGGAGGTAAGGGAGGGACAAGTGTCAATAATGGATGTGAGGATTCTGATCTACATAACAGGGTGGATGTGCAGCCACCCACTGTGATTTGTAACACTGAAAAAAGTCCAGAGAAAGAGTGTGGGAGGTGACACTCATGAGGAAGTGCCAGGTGGGTACACCAGTCTGGAAGCCTATGAAGCGTCCTGGGCTGAAGACACAAACGTGGGAATCACTGCCATATGGACTTTCGTTGAGGGGCAGGCATGGATGAGAGGGTCCTGGGAGAGCACAGGGTGAGAACAGAAGAATGCCTGGGGCTAAGCCTTCAGGAACTCTCCCGTTTGATGGCTGCACAGAGGATGAACTGCAAAGGCGATCAGAGAGAGCAGCCAGAGACAGGAGGAAACTCGGGCAACCTGTGCCCTGGAGCCTAGGCAAGAGAGATGTTTAAGAAGGAGGGAGAGTCAGATGAGGCCTGAAAAAGGTCCCTGGATTTAATGATATGAAGTCAGTGGGGACCTAAGGAAAAGGTAAAGACCACACCAGAATGGTCTCAAGGGCAAGTTTCAAAGGAAAAATTCAAAGGACATGTTTGTTTTGTAGCAGGGCTTTAGACAGTTATATTTGGGGCACTGAGAAACAAAGAGCTATATTTGATTTCAGCAGTATTTTTACATAACAAATTTGTTAATTTTTTCCTACATTTGCACCAGGAGCAAACAGTGTCATAAATAGTATTTTCAATAATTGTATAAGCAATAAAACTTTGTTTTCAAACAAATTCTTTTGCAGATTCTCAATATATATATAAAATATTAAGAGCTGAGCTCTCCTGTGAAAGTCGGCTCAAAATAGAAAGTGACGGACAACAGAAAGAAATGAAAAGGAGCTTGAGAGAGTTCACGAAAAAAAAGAAAGAAAACCATAACCATTAAAGAAATGATGCCATTACAAGCAGTACAAAGGAGAAGAGACATTGTTAAAAACACAGTCAGGGACTTGGAGTACAGGATTGAGACAAATGAGCAAAATAAATGAAGACAACAGAGTTAAGAATTCAGAGAAAATAATGGATAATAGTCCCAGCAGACCAGACATTTCTTTTCTATAACCAGAATTTCTTTCAAAGAGAACAGATCAATTGAAATAAAAATATTCAGAGACATTATGAAAGAAAACTTAAAATAAGGCCTTAACGATCAGTTTAAAAAAGATACGCATGGGCCGGCCCCGTGGCTTAGCGGTTAAGTGTGCATGCTCTGCTACTGGCGGCCCGGGTTTGGATCCTGGAATGCACTGACACACCGCTTCTCCGGCCATGCTGAGGCTGCGTCCCACAGACAGCAACTAGAAGGATGTGCAACTATGACATACAACTATCTACCGGGGCTTTGGGGGAAAAAAAAAAAGGAGGAGGATTGGCAATAGATGTTAGCTCAGACCCAGTCTTCCTCAGCAAAAAGAGGAGGATTAGCATGGATGTTAGCTCAGGGCTGATCTTCCTCACACACACACACAAAAAAGATATGCATTTCTCAGGAAAAAGTGATAAAGAATGGGAACATATCCCATGGTCTTCCAGGGAAAAAAATGATCTTATAAAGGGGCTGAAAACCAAAATAATGGTAGCCTCAAACTTCTCCTACAACATCCAATGCTAGAAGATAATGGAGCTCTACTTAGACTGTACCCTTGGAAGAGAGACTGAGAGGTGTCAGGAAATTCCCGTTAACTTCCTCACCTTTCACAGGGAAAACCAACAGACTGTCCAGAAGGAATAATACAAGGTAGAGATGTTGGTGTGTACCACAGGAAGCTATAAAAGTAATAACTAAAAGCAGTTAAAAACTTCCAAAGTGTGAGAAATAAAACACACACAAAGGAAAACAAGGAAAATACAGACCATGAAGTAAAAAATAACAATCAAAAGAAGCATTATAAATAGAAAGCTTGAAAGATGCCAGAACGAAAATCTAACGTATCTATCATAGACATAAATCTAAACAGGTAAATGTGCCTTTACAAGAGAAACTCAGACTGGAGCAAATGGGGAGAATCCAAATTGGCACTATATGAGACATGGCCAATAAAAAACAAGTCAGAAAGGTATAAAGTTAAAAGGATGGATAAAGTTTGCCAGACAAGTGCAAACAGTACTGAAGCAGGCATTATGGTATTAATATTTGACAAGGGTGACTTCAAGGCAAAGAGCATCAAATGAGACCAAGATGGCCATTTGGTAATAAAGGATAAAATACACAGTAAAGACCTAACTTTCATAAACTTTTAGTGCTAATAAGATAAAAACTTGCTTTAAAGCAAAAACGTTTTTTTGACACAAAGGAGAAACTGACAGAAACACCATAGTAACAGATGCCTTTGATTTACTTTTTCAGTCCAAGACAGATTAATTAGAAGAAAACACAAAATTTGATGAATCGAAATGACGTCAGTTACAGAGGTAAGTCTAAGGTGATTTTTGCCTTTACACCTGAAAGATAAAGAATGGACTTACTCTTGAAGTGCTCCTGGAAGACACAAAAAATTGGCCATTTTCCAATTATTTATCTTCAGGGTAGAGATATTAATCTATAGCAATATACACAAAATTTTAATAGATTCTTAGAAAGTAAAATTAGTAAAACTGATAATCTCTCAGTATAACACAATAAAGCTAGGAATTAACAACAGAATGTAAAACCAAAGAAAAAACTCCTTTCTGGAAATTAAAGGATTATGTAATGCCTAGATCAAAGAGAAAATAGAAACCAAAAAGTGAAAAATATATGGAAAGTACCTACAGTAAAAGCACTATTTATCAAAATTTAATCACTGAGTTTTCACCTGTAAAACAGAAGTCCTGACAGGGCCCACCCTCAGGCGGCTGTTGCGAGAAAGCCTAGAAAAGTTAGGGAGTAAGAAAAGCTGTACAGAGAAAGTGCCTAAAACAGCGCTGGCAAACAAAAAGTATTTATCATATAAACATTATCCATTATTATCATCATTATTAAACTCAGCAGTTTACTTCTAGGAATATGGCCTACAGATATACTTGCACATTAGCTGAAAGATGTACATCCAAGGATATTCATTGCAGCATCACTTTAACAGCAAAAAGACTAAGTACAATCCCCGTGTTTATCAATAGTGGAATGACGAAATCAGTTATGGAATCCAAAACTGTAATACTTTGCAGTCCTAAAGAGAAAAACTTAGATGTATATGCATCGACGGAAAACAGTTTTTCAGGATACGTTGCTAAGGAGGGAAGGTGAGGATAATATGTGTGTATTATACGCTTCCTTTTCTGTTTTAAAGAAAGTGGAGGGAGACAAGCATACACATGCTTGTATACACACAGGCAGTTTCTGGAAGGCATCAGTGAAAACAGAATTTGTCTAGGGAGTGGGACTGGGGTTCCAAGGAGAGTGAGAATCAGTTTTGCTAGGTACCTTTTCACATTCTTTGGAATTTTTTTTTTAAACCATGTGCTAATAGTTAATAAAAAAAACATAAAACATTCTTCTCCTGTACATATCAAAGCAATGCCACTTCTAAACTATTGTTTTTGTTATCTCCATTCTCCTAAATTACCTAGGTGTACATACGAGATACCAGGGCCATCTTCAATTCTTACCTTTCCCTCATCTCCTCTAATCGGCCATTAGTTTTCTCTCTCCCCACCCCCCCACTCTTTTTTTACTAAAAGCTATCTGATATCTCTATATATTATTTATTTTACAAATTTAAAGAATATCAAGAGAAAATAAAATCACTTCTGCTTCTGCCATGTCAACATAACAGTAAGGGCTCCCCTCTATCCAGTGCCTGCTGTGTGCCACGCCCGCACCTACTTTATCTCACGGCATCATCTCAACCATCCAATGGGGTTAGGAAAACACTGTCTTCTCCGTGCAGGAAGCAGAGGTTGCCCACAGGTGGTAAGGAGTGAAGCCAGGATTTATACTCAAGTTGATCTGAGTCCTGAGCCTAAGCTGTAATCACTACACATAGTGCCCCTTCCAAATCTGAAAATGACTTTCATTTTCTAGGTTCTCATTAGTAAAGGTCCATGGGCATCCAGAATATTTTCCAGTTATAATGACAGTACTGATTTCATTTTTAATAGTTTTTATTATATCTTAAACATTTTCTATATTGTTGGTCTTTACAATGATAACTTTTAATGCTTGTGCAATATATAGTCTAGTGGATGTTCTATAATTTGCTTCATTATTCTATTATAGCAACATATTTAGAATGTTTTAACATTTTCAAAATTATGTGAAATGCTGCAAAGATTATCTTTCTTGCATAAGACTTTTCCTTTTTCTTGCTTAATTTCTCTAAAATAAATTCCCATAAATGGGATTCCTGTACCAAAGGATATGAACATTTTATATATTGCCAAGTGCCCTTTTCCTTAGTTATTTACACTTTTTATAGCCATTTAGACTGCTCTCAGCAAGATATTAGAGGCATTTGTTCCACCATAACCTTGTCAAAATTGGGTCTAATTAAAAATTTTGCTAATTTGGATAAGTACAAAGTGGTATCTCATCATTTTGATTTGTATTTGTTATTATTAACGAGGTTGCATTTTTCCTTGTTTGTTTAATACTTCGACTTTCTCATATAAATTATCTATTCATTTTACTCACCAATTTATCTAGTAGGTCTTAACACTCTTCTTACCAATTTGTATCTGTTTTTTACATGATAAAGATACCAATCCAGTGTCTGTTATATTTTTTATATATTTAAGAATTAGAGTATTTCAGTACTAGAAAAGATCTTAGAGCTTATTTATTCAATTTCCTATCTAGTATGAAATCCCCCCAAATAGAAATTTAATTAAGAAATCCAAGAAAATGTCTTACCCGTTAGAACAGTTATGGCTGAGTCATCCTGGCTTGCAGCTTTAAGTGCAAGTATGATTTCTTGATACATCTATGTGAAAGAGGGAAGAGGAGGAAAAGAAAAGGACTCTGAAAATGGTAACCATCACCCAGTGGATTCCCTAAATGCCAGTCTGCAAGCCTGCTCCCTGCACAGTGCCAAACATTTATGCTGGTTGTATTCACATAACCAAAAAGGCAGTCCACGACAGTGGAGAGGACTCTCATTCCTTTAACAATTACATGGTGTGTATTATGTACCAAATGCTACAGCAGATGCTGGAGGACATATCCATGTTTTCCAAAAGTGAACAGATCAGACATAGTCCTCGAGCTTTTGGAATTAATAGATGGGGTCAGCTCTAAAATGGGTGGAAGGCACAAAGCAGCAGGAAGCTCAGAGGAGCTGCTGATACTTATCTAGGGTAGGTAGGATGGGAGGTGGCCAGAGGAAGCTTTCCACGAAGCAATGAGGCAACATTTCAGTGGAGACCTTGAGAAAGAACACGTGTGTCCCAGGCAGTCTGGGAGGTGTTAGTGAGAGGTAAAAAGCTGGGATTTCCAAGGACGATGGGCCCACTATTTGAAATCAGCAACATCTCTAAAACTCTTGGACATATATTTGTCATAGGTTTTGATGCATTTAAAATAGGTGCAGTTTCTACCTTAGATGAGACTTCAACATGGGAGAGAATGATGCAGAGGGCTGGTATTTACAGACACATAGACACTGAAAAAGTAAATAAATGGACTTTACATAAGACATGAATAAAGGCGAAACCATTTCCACCGTGGGAGGGACTGAGGAAGTAATTCCATTATTATTATTATAGTTATGATGACACAGCATGATAGAGTAACTGCAAGAGCCGGGATTAGGAGATGGATATATGCGGGTTTCAATTTAGGTTTTCCTGCTTATTAGTTATGTGAATTGCAGCAAGTTACTACTTAACCTAATTATTTTATTGTTAAATAATAACAACAATGGCTCCTTGTGGGAATTAAACAGAGCTCCGTAGGGACACACATAGGCACTCAGTAAGGAGTGGTGACTATTATTATTACCATGATTATATAGACATGAGTCGGGGAAAAGGAAAGAATGTTTTGAGAATCACTTTATTAATTGAATGGCACATATCCAACTTCATGGAATTCTTATCTAAGACTGTTGTAAGTTAGTATACTCCTTCTACTACGATGCAGATGATAAATCCAACGGATAGGGTTAGAGCCCTCTCGAATTTTACTTCCAGTTCAGCAGCAAGCATCCAATTAATTCCCTATAATTTTTTTAAGGGGAAAGGGCTGAAGTGGTTATTTTTTTTAATTGTGATTTTTCTTATTGAGGTATAATCGACATATTAGTTTCAGGTGTACAACATAATGATTCGATATTTGTATATATTGCAAAACGATCACCACAATAAGTCTAGTTAACATTTATCAGCACACAGTTACAAAATTTTTTCTTCTTCTGTTGAGGACTTTTAAGATCTACTCTCTTAGCAACTTCCAAATATGCAATACGGTATTATTAACTATAGTCTTCATGCTGTACATTATATCCCCAAGACTTATTTATTTTATAACTGGAAGTTTGTACATTTTCACCCCCTTCACCCATTTTGCCCACCCCCTACCCCCTGCCTCTGGCAACCACCAATCTGTTCTCTGTCTCTATGAGCTTGGTTTTGTTTTCTTTTAGATTCCACATATAAGTGAGATAATACAGTATTTGTTTTTCTCTGTCTGACTTATTTTACTTAGCAAATTGTCCTCAAGTTCTACCCATGTTAGAACTTGGTAGAACTTGCTGCCCTTTGTCACAAAAGGCAAGATTTTCTTTTTTTATGGCTGAGTAGTATTCCAGTATGTCTGTGTGTCTGTGTGTGTACCACATTTTATTTATCCATTCATCCATTGATGGACACTTAGGAGGCTGCTGAAGTGGTTTTTTTTATTATCATTCTAGTTCAGTGACAGAGTCAAAGACTAGAGTTGTCCTTGTGCAGCAGCTCATTTCAAGCAGAGCTGGGCTATGATCTATTTAAGATGAAGTCCTTCTCCTTCCTCCCTCTACTTGTACAAAATAAAGCTCCATGCAAGTAGAATAGTACTCCCTCTCAAGTCTAAGTGACATGAAGATACTTCCAGGGAGAGACTATACCAACCTTAGAGAACCTCTACACATATTCTCTTGTATCAATGTATGTCTCATTTGTGTTAATTTAATTTATTTGTGCTTCCATCATTAGGAAAGTTGCAGTGCCTTTTGGGCATGTAGGACCTACCTGAATCTCACAAATTCTAAATAATGAATGACCAACTCTGCTGTACAAAGAAGTAGCCACAGTGACTAATCTTCCTGCACAAATCAAACAAGAGATATCACAAAAATAGGAATGATGCTGAAACACTATAGTTTTTGAGCGAAATAGACAGAAGAAGAAAAGAAAAGCAGGACAAACGTCCAGGGTACGTAGTGTTACCTGAGTGCTGATTGCGTTCTTTCGGGTGGGCCGGTTCAACATGATCTTTGTAATGCCATCTTCAGAGGTCACCACCAGGGTTCCATATCCCGCGTGTTCCTTGTCTGCTCCAGGCTTCACCTGGCTAGAGGATTCAGATGAAGAGCTCAAACTGGACACCAAATCCACATAGTTCTGCCTGGCAGTTTCCTGAAGAGAAGATGGCAAATAGCTTCAGCCAATGGTCAATGGATAAGCATTTTGAGAAACCTACTATGCTAATAAACAGCACCTTGCAATGAAGAAAGAACAGGGTTCTGATTCAATAGAGGCACAGCAAGATCTCAAAGGCTCCACCTCTAATGGCTTGATAACGAGAAATACCCAACATCCTTTAGGAGTACAGCAAGTAAAACAAAATCAAAGTAACAAGTAAATTTACCTCAGGCAGGCTACCAAGAGCATTCCATGCTTCCCATTTGGCTTTATTGATCAAGTCAAAGACACCCGGTTTGGGCATATTACAAGGTCCTTCAGTGGCCTGTGGAAAGGAGAGGGGCAATTACTGGTCAAATGTCCATGGAAATTAGAGCCTTAAACATTTAAGATCCATAAAGTGCACAACTAGCATGAATGCACCTTGCCCTCCCGAACTCTTGCACAAGGTACATAACTTGATCTGAACTTTCCCCTAGCCCTCCTCCCTTTGATGCTGTTGCTAAATATGCACAAACAACAGAAAAAAGACTGGAGAGACAAGATGCCCTATCAGCTGTCAATCCCTAAAATAAGTTATAACTGCCTGCATATGAAAATAATGCAAGATAAGGGTTTTGGGAAGCACTTTTTAAAAACTTCTAATAGCTCATTAGTTTTATATTGATGATCACATTTTTCACACACAGTCAAAATATTCAAGTCAACAATCATCAAAGCTAAATAGCCAACAAACATTTGGAAACCCAGAGCATATTCTGAAAGCCCAGTCAAAGGTACAAACACACACCACTAATTGAGTGGTGGATTTCTGGTAACTAAGCAACAGAGCTGTAGCTGGGGGAGCAGGGGTACGGCTGTCAGAGCCACTGGTCCTTAGAAAACCCAACTGAAGGACATGAAAGTAGAAAGCAAAAAGCAACTAAATTTTACCTGTTTGGGGGTAGGGGGAGGGAGTGTTTTGAGATGAATAAAATATCCCACTCAGCTACTTTTTAGAAATGGCAATTTAAAACTCCACTTAATAACCACACTTAAAGTTTTAAATTTCATAATATAATTAGCCAGCTTTGAAAAACAAAAGCAGTAAAGGAGGCTAAGACTTTCCAAAGATGAAGAGATAAGAGTCACCCGCAAGAGTTAGCCACCTGAGAACAGAGAGGCAACACATGCCACAGGACTGACCCCACTTCTGATGTCAAATGAAAGGCTGGGGGGCTTCTGAGACCACTGTCAGGTTCAATAATCTGCTGGAATGACTCACAGAAAGCTCTTATACTCACAGTTACGGTTGGTTACAGGGAAGGATACAGAAGAACATCAGCAAAGGAGGAGATGCATAGGGGAATAGGGGGAAGTAAGCCCGGCTCCGCACTCTGGAGCCAGGACAGGGTACGTCTCCCAGAACTGATGTGCGGCGACACACACGGAGCACTGCCCACCAGGAAGCCCATTCAAGCCTCAGTGTCCAGTTTTCACTGGGGCTTCATCACTTAGGCATGACTGGTTGTGTAATCCAAAGCCCCCACCCTAAACTACACTGTTGCTATCTGGTGTGGTCAGTCCCACTCTAAATCACATTGTGAGACCATCCAGGCAAACAAAGACACTCCCATCAGGCATGGCATTTCAAGGGCTTAGAGATCACCTCCCAGAAGCCAAGGGCAAAGGCCAGACCTCTTTTTGGGGCAAAGTTAAATTCTTGACTGTACACATCCATATTAAAGTAAAAGAGGTTCATACCAGTCATAGGAAGTGAAAAATAGATAATACACAGGAGCCCAGAGGGGCTGACTTCCCAGGGTAGTCTTTAGATATTAGACATTTAGACATTAAAATTTAAGTTTTAAAACTTGGTTATAAAGTTCTACAAAAGCAGAACATGATAATGAATTCCCAATATTCATCACCCAAATTCAACTCCTATCATTTTTTGCCATACTTGCTTCATCCATTCTTTTCTGCTTAATTATTTTAGTAAATCTCAAACACAATACTATTTCACACCTACATACTTAGTATGTATTCCTAAAAAATGTCAACATTTTCTTATACAACTATGATTAACAATAATTCCTAGGTATCATCTAATACTCAGTCCATATTCAAATTTCCCCAATTGTCTCAAAACACCTTTTTAAGTTAAACCAACTTAATTCTAATTCTTGATTCTAATCAGCAGCCAAATAAGGCCTACACATTTGGTTGTTATATCTTTTAGGTCTTTTTTGCTCTGGAGTGATCCTGACAGGTTACTTTTTGCCTTAATAGTGTGGGGGATCAGAATTGGCCACCTCAAAATATGTCTCTCTACCTTGATTATTTTCTCTGAAAGAAACTTTGACCCTCCCCTGCCTCCCCAACTTCATAAAAGAATTTAATTCTGGGTATGGATAGACGGGGAGGGTCCTTGCTAAGCCCATTCTTATCAAAGTTCTGTTTACCAAACATTTAAATCTCCATTCATAAGGGTGTCTCCCTCTCTGTACTGGGGGGCCGGGGGTGGGGGATGACCTCATCTCTAGAAACTTATCAACGTGGAAGGCGAGGCCTTAAATCTGCATAATAACCTTACTATTGTTTACTGTGCTTTTCTGGTAATCTCCCATAGCTGACTCCCTCTACCCCCAACATCCTCCTTTGTCTTTCTACTTAAGAGGAGACCTCCGCCATCTTGTTGAGTTACTCAGTGGGTGTCTCTCATGTATATATGTTATAAAGCTTTGTTTGATTTTCTCCTGCTATTTGGTCTCATGTCAATTTAATTTTTAGACCAGCCAGAAAGGACCCAGAGTGGGTAGAGGATAGTCTTCCTCCCCTTCAATAGTATTTCAAAGTCTAATACATAACTCTCATGTATACACTCTTTAGAGGAAAGGCAGTGTGGGAGATCAAAATTTGGCCACCCCAAAATATATGTCTTCACCTTGATTATTTTCTCTGATGGACATTTGACCTCCCCCACTAACTGCCTAAAGGAATTTAACTCTGGGTATGATAGACTGGCAGGATCCTTGCTAAGCCCATTCTTATCAAAGTTCTGTTTACCAAACATTTACATTTGTAAAGGTATCTCCCTCTCTGTACTGGGAAGAGAGGGGGATGACCTTATCTCTGGAAACTCTTATCAGTACAGAAGGAGAGGACTTAAATCTGCATACCCTTGATTGCTGTGCTTTCCGGTAATCTGTCTCCTCCCCCACCCCCAACATCCTCCTTTGTCTTTATCTAAATCTATTTAAGGTGCAAAACCTCCGCCATTTGTTGAGAAACTCAGTTTCCCTGGTTTCTCCCACGTATACATGTTATAAAGCTTTGTTTGATTTTCTCCTGCTATTCGGTCTCTTGGCAATTTAATTTGTAGCCCAGCCAGGAAGGACCCAGAGTGGGGAGAGGATACTCTTCCTCCTCCCCCTTCAGCAGCAGTACAAACCCTAAAAATATTAAAGCTGCATTTTAGTAAAACATACAGCATATTGTGGGGGAAGAGGGAGAATCACCCTCCGCCCTTTCCCTTAAGGTTCTTATGGCTGGCCAAATAATTAACAAGACAGGTTAGCAGGAGAAAATAATACCAAGTTTAATAACATGTATACATGGGAGAAACCAGGGACACTGAGTTTCTCAACAAAATGGCAGAGATTCTCCTCTTAAATACTATCTTCAGCTAAAGACAAAGGAGAATGTTGGGGGTGGGTGGTGTTTTGGGATTTCAGAGGGGAAGAAGACAATTTACATGAAGAGGGAAACGTAAATGTTTATCAGACAATGCTTTGCAGGGCCACCTATAGAGAATGTGGCTGGAGAGACAGGAATTACAGTAATCAAGAGTATGTACATTTAAGTCTTCTTCTTCCTTCCTGATAAGAGTTTTCACAGATAAGCTCTTCCCCCGCTCTTCCCACTACATAGAGGGAGATACCTTTACAAATGTAAATATTTGGTAAACAGAAATTGAAAAGAATGGGCTTAGTGAGGACCCTCCCAGTCCATACCCAGAGTTAAATTCCTTTAGGCAGTTAGTGGGGGAGGTCAAATGTCCATCAGAGAAAATAATCAAGGTAAAGAGACACATTTCAGGGTGGCCAAATCTTGATCTCACATTATCTATTTGAGGAGTCATCTGCCCAAAATGTCTCCCAATTATATCAGACCTTAGGCATTCACCTGCTTATACAGTGCATAGAGTTTCAGCTTCACTTCATTTCCTGGATCCTTCTTTAGGAGTTTCACCTGATTCACTGCATTTTCCAAGTCCTTCAGACTGGCTCTCATTGCTGCTCCACTCACATGCAGCTTAAGCGCTGGGAAACAAACGACCTGCAGAGGACTGGAAACAGGCAGACTGATTTCTAATTGCTCTCAGCCCTTACCAAAATGCTATGTTTCTCTATAAATATTTTCCCTATACTTACCCTGGTAAGCTGGCTGCAAATGGTTAGTGGTTTCAAGAATGATCCCTAGATAAGAAATCAATACAGAAGCTAACTGCAGTAATTTTTAAATAAGGTAAAGAAAGCTACAACCCAGCATGATATTTGTAGCAACTCAAATTAGATATAGAGAAAAGCAGCCAGAACCAGAATGTCCATATGAATTTTGCCACAGGCAAGAAGTAAATGAAGGGTGTGCAAGATAGAAGTGAGCAGGAGACCAAGATAAGCAGGTAAAGTGCACAAAAAGAATCTAGTTGTTTGTGTCCCAAAGTCCAAAAACACCTTCTGCGTTCACTGATTAACAAAGTATAAAACTAGTCAGTTTTTTTTTCTCTGCTCTGCAAAACGTGGGTTCCAACATAACAGCCGGTGGAAGGAGCTGAGATGGGTGAAGATATAAGAACTGTTCAAAAGGGTAGGTGAAGCAGTTGCTGGCATTCCACACAGAGGACCACTTCTTTCTTAGCAAGGTGGGGGACCTACCCGGAGGAATCTACCTGCTGTGCATGCTAGTCTGTCAAGTCCAGCTGAGCAGACATATCCAGTCCTCACCCCATGATGTTTAACCAGCCAGCCAGGAGCAGAGCAGAAACGGCAAGCACGGCCAGGTAAGTAGGTCTTTAAGCACACACAGTAAGCAGAGGGGAGGGGAAAACTTCAAATGCACAAATGCATAGTGTTGAGGTCACGAGCAAAACCTGGATGTTCATAGTGATGACTCTGAATAATAAAGTTAATGGATTGTTGGGGCCCAGGGCAGGCTACCCCAAAATATGGCACAATGGCACATTGATTATTTTGAATTAAAGTTACTTGAGAAGCAAAAAGGGCATTCTGACCCTCCTGTCTCTGTTCCATCTGAAAGCAGGAAATAAATCTTCAACGTGAAAGGTGCTCTCCCTGCATCCTTATCACCAGAGCTAGGGAACTCAGGGCAGAGAGCCTGCATGAAAAAACCTTGTTAATATACTATCTCAAACCTAAACTCTGTTTAAATTTCTCACTAATTACCTACCCTAAACCTAAGTTTCTTTGTCTTGTCAATTTCTCACAAGTTTATTGTTTCTTTGTGTAAAATATATATACACTCCCTGCTTTGTTCACTCTCCGAGCATCATTTTCATGATTCTCTCCTGGGCATGTAATTAAATCGGGTTTTTCTCCTGTTGATCTGGTCTTGTATATTAGTACAGCCACACGAACAGAAGACGACTACAAAGGGGATCTCCACCCTCCCCAACAGCATCAAAGATGATTAAAGTAACACAAATAAAGCTCAACCTAACAAATGTACTGCCTCCTCTGCAGTTACATAACTTTCAGAGTAGGATGAACTCTAGGTTCAAACCTTGAAATATTATTGTGTAATTCAATAAAATCAGTTTTCAGTAAGTTTAATATTAGATAATTGAACTATTTTTTTTGCTTTTTTCCTAAAAAGGGAAAAACTGCATCCTACATGAATCTGGCACCTGGCAAGTTCCAAGTAGTAGAAATGAAAGGAAAATTTTAAATGTCCACAGAAAGCCTAAACGCGCAAGGTCTCACAAAATGAGGTAGGGAAAATCGTTCATAACTCCACCACCTCAAGGCAACCACGAAGTTTCGGGGCTTTCTTGTTCCCTACGCATAGATTCGTTTTTGGTTTTTACGTAGTCTGTGTATCACGCCATTTAACAGACAGCAGAAGTATTCTCCAAAGAGCAAACAGTTTAACTCCACACTGACGATAACCACTTGCATTTCTGCAGCGTTCAGCAAATAAACAAAGCGTGCTTAGATGTTCTACCTCATTTCAGCTACCTTCGCAAGCCAGACGCAGCCACGGTGGCGGCGGGCAGCCTCGGGGGACGCACACCCGCCGCGGTGGGGCCCGGACGCGCGCTGCGCGCGGACGCGGGAGGCGGCCTGGGGGACGCGGGAGAGACAACTGCAGCTCAGACCTCCCGACGCGTCCTTCCTGACGCTTCCCGGCCCAGCCGAGGAGGAGGGCGCGCATTTAGAGGACACTTCACGTCACTCTCTCCCTGGAAACCACAAAAGCTTAACCGTGTTGCTACCAAGACAGGACAACAGGGAGGACGGCGACTCCCTCACGGACGGCAGGGTCCCACGGCGACCTCGGGCCCCGGGCTCAGCGCTTACCTCCTGACGGCGCTCAGGCAACGGCACCACGCCAGTCTGCCGCTCGCCCCAGCCATGGAGCGGTCACACGCGCGGTGGGGCCCGGGGAGCCCGGCATTAAAGCGGTCGGAACTTGGGCCGGAGCCGGGGAGGGGCGGGCTCCGAGAGAGACTGGGACGCGACAGGTCGGAGCGCGGGCGGGGCGGGGACGGGCAGGGACGTGATAGGTCGGGGTGGGATGGGCGGCCCGGGGCGGAGAGGCGCTCTCCGTGTGGGCGCCGCGGGGGAAGGGCGGGCTGTGGAGGGGAGGAGGGCAGCGTCCTCCCCTGGCCGCCTGGACCGAGCTGGAGACGCGGCCTGGTCTCTCCGGCCCTGCGAGCGCTTGGTGGCCTGTTGGGAGGGGCGACGGTGTGTAGCGGAAACCCTCGAACTCTGCGGACGCTGCGGCTGCCAGAGGCCTGGGCGCCCTGCGCGTCGTCCCGCCCCGGCCTCCCCTGAGGGCCGGGGCGCGGGTGCGGGAGGGGCTCTCCCCCCAGGGACGGCCGCGAGCTCCGGACGGCGGCGCGCCCTGCGTTAGAGACGGGAGGTGGGGAAACGATTGAGGGTGTGCGGTGAAAAACACGTCATTCACCCCGAAAAACCGGAGGTTTACAGACCTGGTGGAGCGCCTCGGGATCAGAAGTGTGTCTGGAGTGTTTTAAATCCACCTTTTCATGTCAGTAGCCGTCTGAGGGCATTTTTGAGTTCTGTCAAAGTATTTAACAAAATATTTTCTTTGGAGAAGAATCCTTAAGAGTTGGAAGGGCCTTTGTCTCTCAGCTCGCCCAGTTCCAGAAGAACCAAAAACAAAATCTCGGCTTTAGACTGGGTGCTCAGGGTGTGGTACCCGAGTATGGCTGAGGGCAGCCAGAGTTTGAGATGAATGAAGCTGACATGTGCGGACTGCCTATAGGAAGCCAGGCTAAGGGTACTTCTTTCAGGAACCCCGTGCGGAAAATGGTGGTGCCCCATTTTGCCGATATGGAAATTGAGGCCTAGAAAAATTAATTCGGTGACTTTCCCAAAGATTTGGGACTTGCCAGTGTTACCAGACCAGGTTCATTTTGCCCATCGCTGGGAAAGCCAATCACGAAGACTAGGAGTTTGCAGCAGAAAAAGGGTTCATTCATCCAGCAGCCAAGAGAGGAGATGAGAGAACAAATATCAAATTCGCCTCCATCAAAATGGATATTAAGGATATTTATGGGGTAGCGGGTCAGGATGGCCCGAAGTGTGGATAGATGGTTAGAGGTAAGGAGGAGTGAGGTGTTTGATGATCTGTGCAAGCATAGTCAAGTTTCATGGCTCTTCATAGGATGCATGGACACAAAATGGTGGCATTGACATGATCTGAGGGTGGAGTTTTTATCTCCCTGATGTCAGGAGGTCCCCTATCAGACACCTGCACAGGCCCTGTTGGTGGGTTGGTGGTCTGCCCTGGCCTGAACTGGATAGGGGTTGTCTTGACATGAGTGCAGCCATATTTGGCTGCTCCATTGACTTACAGCCGCCAGCACACAAAGAAATATAAAGCTGCTTTCTGTGTGGTGGGAACTGGCCTTTTTCCCACGGAGGTAGTTGCAATTTGTTACATTTCAAGGTGCTTTGGGCTTGTAGCCCTGGGCAGACTGGCCATCTGTGGGGCTGGGATGATGACCAGGGAAAACAATGCAGCTACACAACTGCCAGCTGAGATGATAGCTAGGAGGCTCAGTGCACTTATGCCACTGATAACCATTTGTGCATGGGAACATTGAATGCTTGCTCTGTAAACTCTGTAACTGCTTGCTCTGGAAGCTACTGATGCTATGTAAACTGCTGGAAACCGAGGCCTGGTGAGTCTCACCTGTGGAGGAGACGCCCTGCCCAGGACCTCTGATGATCAGATTCCCACCCAGCCGTGTCAATTGAAGGGACTCTTCCCAGCAGTGGGGCGTGGGTGTTGTGAGTAACCGACCTGATGTGTTCTCTTTTCAGTCAACCTGGTGTTTCTCTTTCTGGTTGATTTGTGTCATTTCCCTTCAGTTGATTTGATGTTTCCCTTTCCGATCGATCTGATGTTTTTCCCTCTTATTATATGACCTATTCGAATCTGCCGCTATCTCAGTTGATCTGGTGTTTCCCTTTTGGAGAGAGCTGGTGTTTTTCCCTCCTATTATTTGACCTATTCGGATCTGTTTGCAAACTATCACCTTTACTCTCCTCTATGTAATAAAATATACCTTCAGTCCATTTGTTTGGAGTGGAAAGTTTCTTTTACGTCTCCGATCGAATCCCCCAAAGCTCTCATAACATAATTGGCGCTGTGAGCAGGATTCCATTAAGGAGATGGCTTTCCTGTTCAAACAAAAGGTAACTGAAGCCAAGGTGGAAGAAGTTCCAGGATGGGAGGACCCTCTCTGTTGCACTCTGGCTGGGGAGTGGACTTATAGGTCAGGATTATGTGAATCTTGGGATGTTCGTCTGTGAGATATGAACCATTGGATGTGACCAAAGCTTTGCAGATGGTGGGGGAAAAGAAAAGAGAGAGATGATGTTTCTTTTCTGGCACGGCAAGGTTGGTGTTTGTTGACTGCTTACCGTCGGGCTATAGAAGATAGGAATAAGATACGAAGGGAGAAGGTACTCTTGGGAAAAGAAGTTTCAGATTTGCAGTCTCAGCTGATGTCACTCAAAATACAAACTCTTTCCTTGCCGTGAGCCTGGCGTTCTAGTTTTATTTGGCCCCTCTTGTGTGACAAATAGAGAGCCTGAATGTGTATCCAATAATAATTTGGCGAGCCAGCGGGGAGAGTCTTTGCCCATGGCTCGGTGGCCCTGAGCCAGGTGGGATGTCCTGGGAAACAGTCCAACAGCTGCCTAGGTGATTTGCCCTAGGGACTGCTCCCAG